GTGCAGAGGTCCATGAGTGTGTCTGGGGGTTGTGGGACAGGCTGTGTGCAGGTCGGAGCTGGGAGGACCACGGCCTCTGTGGGCCTCTTGCCTCCCCCCCTCCACCTTGTTTTCTGTTACACAGGGCCCTCCACTCCTACCCTGTAGACCCACTGGCCCAGTTTCTCCTGGTTTGACAATTTTTTCAGCTCCCCAGTCGGGTGGCCCACCGGCGGCCGCCACCTGGCAGGCCCGTGCCGCTAAGAGGCCGCTTTGGTGGCCAAGTGGCTCGCATTGTCGTTTTCCCTCAAAGGGGCTGCGAAGGGCCGGGCAGGTCGCTGGGACCTCTTGCGAGGAGCAGCCGGGTTAAAGGGGGAGGGGCCGGCGAGGATAAAGGCGCAGCACGTGCGCCCGGCCTCCACAGGACCAACAGACCGAGCGGGCGGGGCCAGCCGGGAGGCGCCCCCCCCCACCCGGGCTTCACGCAGGGAGCCCAAATATTGGGAACAAAAGCGGGAAAAGAAGAGAGAGAGCAGGAGGGAGGGAGGGAGCAAGGGAGGGAGCGAGGAAGCAGAAATTAGGGGGTCTTAGATGAAAAAAAAAAGAAAGTAGCTTTAGGGGGAATGTGCCGTGGAGTGTGAAATTGCAGCCCATGGTGCTCCATATTGTACCAGAAGCTCTTCCAAAAAAAAAAAAAAGCCATCCTCCAACGTGACCAGAGGGCTAGGAAGGGGGAGGGGCGGGGAGAGAATGGGGAGGGGGAGGGGAGAGGGCTGGGCGGGAGCCGGTCAGGCCGAGCTGGAGAGGGGGCCCGGTGCGTGCGCCGGCTGTCCGGGATCTGGTCGCGGAGAGTTAGCGCCCCGGGGTGCGCCAGGACCCAGAGGGCGAGTGGGCCGCGGCCGTCCCGCCCTTGGATTGTCAGCGAACTTTTTTTCTCTCCGCTTTTTTCTTTTTTCTGGTGGTAGTGGTGGTGACTTCCAAAACTGGGACTGATTCAGAAAAGGAGCTCGGCTGTGAAGCTGCTACTCTGCTCTACCTTCCTCTCTTCCCTCCTCCGTTTCTGCTTCTCTTCCCTTCGGACTAGTTTTTACCCCTTTGGTTCTAAACAGCTTCCCCCCCACCCCGAACTTCAATGCGTTTAATTTGGTCCGCGCTGTGGGGAGCATTTCCTAGGGAGATACATTTAATTTCGGAATTTCTAATCCCCTCCCTCAGAGGCCGGGCCCTGGCTCCCTTCGCCGCTCACCAGGAGGTGGAAGGAGTGGAAGGAGGAAGACAAGCCCAGGCCAAGGGAGAGGGGCAGGGCGGGGAAGCTCTCTCTCGGCCCCCAACCCTCCCCCACGTGGCCCAGCCGCCCTCCCGAACTGCTCGAGGACCGGGGGTCTGGGCTCTGGGTCAGGGCCCTGCCTTCAGCGGAGAGGCAGCTACGCCCTCTGCCTTTCCTCACCCGGACAGAAAGCGCTGGGCCAGGGAATGGGAAACCGGAAAAGGAGCAGAGAGCTGGTGCAAGCGGGGGCAGCGGACAGGGTCTAGATGAGCACTTCACTTCATGCACAATCTACCCAGAGCCCATTTGGTAGCTCTGAGCGCTAGTCGTGCTTGGCTTGGCTTGGGATGCCTGTGCATGTGTACACTTGGGGTGCGGAGGAGGAAGTCACCGTGGGCCCTGCTTCTCCCACACCTACACCCTGCAGAGCAGGCCCTGGACAGCTTGAGAGTTAGGCCAGCTGCAGCTCAGCAGCCAGAAAGGAGGCAAGGGCTGGGGCAGCCGGAGAGCCTGGCAGGGAAGGGAGCGGAGAAGGCGAAGGAGGGGAGATCCACAAGGAAGATTTATTGGGCAGATCAGATGCACAGAGGCGGCTAATGAAGCAAATCCCGAGATGGGTATCAGAGCAACTCCCCAAAAGTTTATTTGCCTTTAAATTTCCGCAGGGAGGCGGGCGCCTTGTTTGAAGTGTAAATGCCCCTAGGTTGGGGGGTGGAAGGGCCGCTTTGAAAACACCAGAGAGAAAAGGTTCATTTAGAGGCAGACGGGAAAAGCAACCAACCCTGACAGGTCGGAGCCCGGGTTGTGTTTGGGGTTGGGTTGTTTTCTTTCTTTCTCTTTCTTTTCCTCTTTCCTCTACTTTCTCCTTCCCCTTTCCCCTTTCTTGCTTTTTTCTCCTCTTCTAGACTCTATAGAAGAAGAAAGGGAAGAACAGGAAAGGGAGCATCAGAGCTGGAGAGGCCAGTGCCTGGAGAGAAATCTGTAGGCCAGCCCTGGAGCCATAGGAGAAGGCAGAGCCTTGGCTAAAAGTGTCTCTAATCATCAGGGATCATTGCTCTTTAACTTTCTAGACCCAGGAATGGGCTGGAGCTGAGGAGGAAGCTGCCAGGGGCTGGATTGGTGGGAGGGTGAGTGTCCAGCTAGTGCAGTGCTGGGGAAAGGGTCCCAGGAACTGGGGGTGGCCGGGGTGGGAGTGATTCTGGAATCTCAGAGGCTACGTGGGAATTGGACTAGCATGGAAGGGTCTTTACTCCTCAGGGGGTACCTGGGAAAGATAGGTGTGTGAGTATAACTTGCAACACACTTTGCGCATTAAGTCCCCCTAAGTCCCCTTTCACAAAATGTGAAATCCCTCTTGCCCAACACATGAAAATGCCTGTTGTCTGCACCCACACTTCTTCACAGTATGTGCAAGACAGAGATATGTCTGCTGGTTCTAGAAAAACCAGTGAGTCTATGTGTGGAGGGGGGTTCTGTCCACAGTCTTATTCCTCCAATAGTTCAGACTCCCCAAGACTTATTAACTTTCTGCACCAACATAGGGAGACCTGGGGCAGAGGGCTCCTTTGGTTCTGAGCTCCTCAGTAAGGATCCTTCCTCTGGACCTCTGCCTCCACCCCAGTCTTGGTTAATTACCTTCCTGAAGGAAGCCCAGAGCTGTACCAGGTAATACCACCTGAGAGCCCCTTTCTCCCAGGCCTGGGAGCCTTTCCCTTTAGGCTGCCGGAACTGTATTTTCCTTTTTTTTCGTTCCCCACACGAAGGTAGTGCGGGTGCGTGGGGTTGTGAGGCCAAAGCAAACCCGGGAGCGCCATCTGCAGGTCTCTAGAGGAAGAGACTGACCTTCGGGGCTGGCCCGGGCGCCTTCAACCTCCAGCCCAAGGGAACCAGCCTGGCTGCCCAAGGAAGAGGGAGTGAGGGCTGGGAGGGAGGGGACTTGAGGGAGGTGGTTTTTTTGGTTTTTTTTCCTCCTCCCAGAAGTTACTCCGTAGGTGGATTAAGCGGATCTGGCTCAGGAGGATCCAGGAAGGGGGTCAAATGTCTAGCCTACTCAGCCCCCTAAGGAGTGGGTGGTTCAGAGTCCTGTGGGGACTGAGCCTGGCTGGATCCCCGTCGGAGGATTAAGGACACTCTGAACACCCGGGTGCGGGAGGCCCAGTAGGAGTCTCCTGGCTGAATGGGGCGGGTGCGTCCCCCATCCTAGCTGCTGCCTGGGCACTTGCCAGCCGGACAGCGGCGCGAGTCTGCGGCTCTTTCGCGGGCGCCAGGGTCTGCAGTCAGGGGCCAGAGGCGCCTCGAGACCGAGCAGCAAGAGCGGAGCGCGGGCTTCCCTGAGCCGCCCTTTCGCAGACCCAGGGAAGCGGGGGGAGGGAGCGAAGGAGGGAGAGAGAGTTAAAACATCAGCTGAAGTGCCAAGATGATTTATGAGACGAGGGAAAATATTTCATAAAGATCTCCCGGATATTCTGTACTTAACCAGTTAGGAGACAAAGGGCTTCTCCTGCCTGGTGCGTATGAGCGGACCCGAGCGAGTGCGGGCGAGGGCTGCGGAGGCTGGGCCAGCGGCTCTGGCAGGAGCGGGGCCGGGCCGAGCGCGCTGCGCCTCCTGCGCTAGCTCGGGATCCGTCAAGCTGGCAGCGGGCGGCGCTCAGCCTCGTTCGCAGCCTCTTCTCCCCAGCCGGGGAGACCAAAGCTCGGCGCCCGCGTCCTCTGCCGCCGCGACCAGTCGCTCCGCACTGTCTCCCCTCCCCAAGCCCTTCTCCCAGGCCATCCGGGGGTCCAGAAGCCAAGCCCCCGGGCTCTCCCACCGTCCGTTGGGTCCCACCGAGGCAGGTGGGTCCTCGCTGGAGGTCTCCAGCTCCATCCTAAACCGAGCGTTCTGGGCTGCCCAGACTCTGATGGCCAAGGGAAGAGGGAAGCCCTCCGCGCAGCCGCGCGTGGGATGAGAGAGGACAAACTGCCGGGCACTTTGCCCCGGAATGAGAATTGGGGGTGCGTGGGTGGGGAGGTACCTCAGGAGGGAAAGGCGAAAGGGAAGGACCAGAGAGAGGAAGGAAGAATCAGGAAGGAACGGAAGGGAACTCAGACCTGAGAGGAGGGGGGTTAAGGCTAGGGATGCGGACCGGGCTCCGGGCCGCGGGGCCCATGCGGGCACTGGCCGGGGGATGGCAGGGCTGGGTGAGTTGGGACTGCGAGCCTGGCTTTCGAGAGCGGCGCGCTCCGGGGCACTCTGTCGTTGCCTGAATATTCATTAGACTGGCCGCTCTTTATCTTTATCTAACGTTTATCTTATCGGCGAGTTTCGTTTCTCAGTGTAGTTTTAATCCGGGGCTCCCCTTTCCCCTCCCCCTGGCCCGCTCCCCTCCCTCCCTCTTCCTTCGCCCGCCGCTCCCTCCCTCCCTCCCTCCCGTTTCCCCCTCCCCACCCCTCCCCTCGCCGGCACCGGAGTGACAGGCGCGGGGCCCTCCTCGCCAAAGCTCGGGGCTCCGGCGCTGGCGAATCACAGAGTGGTGGAATCTATTGCCTTTGTCTGACAAGTCATCCATCTCCCAGCGCGGGGAGGAGGAGGGGGTCTGGAGGGGGCTTTGCAGCTTTTAGAGAGACACACACCGGGAGCCAAGGCTCCAGTCTCCGGCCGAGTCTTCTCGCAGCCGCAACCCACCTGGGGCCAGCCCAGTGCTGCCGGCGCAGCTCGGCTCCCTCCCTCCCTCCCGGCCCTTCGGCCGCGGCGGTGAGCGCCTGCCTTTTCCGGGGGCGGGGGCCCGGCTCGCGCTCTCCCCTCCTGGAGGCGCCCGCTCGGACATCCCGAGGATTGCTACTTCTCTGCCAACTTCGCCAACTCACCGGCACTTGGAGCGGCCCGGCTCCCCGCCCGGCGCCCTCGGGCCGCCCCCGCTCCTCGCCCTCTCCGACCGCCGCCTCTCGGATGACCGGGTTCCAGGGGAGCTGAGCCGCCTCCCCCGCCCAGCCTCAGCCCTGGCCTCAGCTGCCGCGCGCGCCATGCGCCCCCAGATCCCCCCGGCCCGGCCCGCCGCCCCGGGGCCGCTCTGCTGACCGCCCAGCCCCGCGCCCCGACGGTGGGAAGTTGCGGTCGCTGCGGGTGTGAGCTCCGATCCGCCCGGGAGGCGTCCCCGCGGGGAGCACAGCGCGGCGTCCCCCGCCCGCCCCGCCGCAGCCGGGCGCCCGCTCACCTCCCCACCCCCCCAACGTCCCTCCCTTTTCTCCTCAAGTCCTGAAGTTGAGTTTGAGAGGCGACACGGCGGCGGCGGCCGCGCTGCTCCCGCTCCTCTGCCTCCCCATGGATATGCACTGCAAAGCAGACCCCTTCTCCGCGATGCACCGTGAGTACCGGCGCCCGGCTCCTGTCCCAGCTCGGGGCTCCCCGTCCTAACCCTCTCCCGTCCAGTCCCCGCGCGGCCCTGGCCCCCTTCGCTCAGGCCCCATCTTGGAGACTGCGCTGGCTTCTCCAGGCCCCCCCTTTCGTTCTTCCTCTTCCCCTCATTTTCCAGTGTTTCTAAAGCCTCCAGTTTCTCTCTTCTGCCTTAGGTCACCAATACTTCTCCCTCTACCTGCCTTCCTATCTTCCCTCCTGCCCATCACCTGTCTTCCTTTCCTTACACCTGCTCCTTCTTAGGTCATCGATCCACAGCCCCTGGCCCTGGCTCCAGCCATCCTATGCCCTGGTCACCCTCTTGCCCTGGGCTGGGAGACTAAATTGGCAGGCAGTTTTGAGGGGTTTGAGTTGTGTTGTTTTCTCTGTTCTCTCCCTCTCTCCCTCTACCCTCTCTCTCCCTCCCTCTCTCTCTGCCTCCCCCACCCTCCATTCATCTCTACCTTTCTCAAACTTAGAGTGTGCTTGTCCAGGAGAAGACTCCTGGCATGGGCAGCTTCCGTGTCAGGACAATCAGGCAGAAGAGTGTGGGGGTGGGGTGCCCCCATCTGACCCTCAGCTCCCAGCATCTCCAGGCCCTGGCAGCCCAGCCAGGGCTTGGTGTGAGCTGGTTTGTAATACTCCCTCTTCTTTTCTTTCCTACCTCCTTCCCCTCTTTCTCTTCTCCTTCAGTTGGGAGTCCGAGATTGGCAGGATGTGGTGGTCATCTTTCTCCACCTCTCCCTGGGAGATGCTCTAAAAACAAAGAGGGGTTCCAAGGAGAAATCGAAGTCAGGAAGAGATGGAGTAGAGGAGCCTGCCAGGCAGCCCCTGGGCAGAGCCGAGCTCTGCTTGCAGTTCTGGAGGCTCCTTGCCGGCCTCCCACTCCCCGGTGAAAATGGTCCAGCCAGTGCCCTGGCCGGTGGGTAGTCAAAGGGGGGAAAACGAGGGGGAAAGAACAAAGGGAAGGCAAACGCCAAAGCTGGGGAGAGGGGAAAGAGAATTTTTTTAAAAGGGGAAGAACATAAAAGAAAACAGAAAGGATGTTATAGGGGAAAGAGAAGGGGAGAAAAAATTTAAAAAATAGGAAAGAGGGAAGTATTTTAATGAACTTGAATTTATCTAATTCATGTCATATGTCTTTAGCTTGGAGAACAATTCAGAGGTTTTTTGTTTTTTGTTTTTTGTTTTTAGACAAATAGATTCTAAATAGAAAACTTCTCCTCCTCTGTAGATTAATAATTAAGGATGATTTGTAACTTTTCACAGGGAAACTTTTTTAGACCTGGCTTGGATCGGTGCTCCAGACAAGGGTGCCGAGGAGGGAGAGCTCTGTTTTTCTCTTAAGCATATAATTAGCATAACAGGGGGAGCTTTTAAAAAAACACTCCTGGGGTAAAATATATTTTCCTAAATAATTTCCGAGTACAGGTAATCCAAGTCAGGGGCCTCGGGCCGCCGCGGGTCTCCGTGAGCTGAGACCGAAATCCTGTCTCCTTTTGGGAGCGAGTGGAACCGGGTCGACACACCGGCTTCGCCCAGCCCGCTGGCCTCCCTGCCCCGCCGCCTCTGCTCTCGCTCTTCTCTCAGGCCGAATGAATCCGCGGGGGATTTGCCGAGTCCCGGCCACCCATGGGGTGTCACTTTGAAACCCAAAGTGGGGCAAGGCGAGCTGAAGGTGGTTGGAGGAAGGGAGAGACGGCGGCGCGGGCGGGCAGCCTGGCCAGCAAGCCGGGGCAGCCTGAGTCCGCGCCAGCGGCAGTGGCGCGTTCCAGGCCCGACTCAGCGGCAGCTCCCGGCCCCCGGCCCTGGACCCCTGTCGTGCCCCCTTCCCGTCCCCTTTCCTCGGATTGGGGACGAGGGGCCGGGCCCGGAGCCCGGGGAGGCTGAATTATTCATCTTTAATCTGCCCGCAGCTGCCGCCTTTTCATACCGGTAACGCGAGTTCTCCCGGGGCCTAAATTATTGATGGTCAGGGTTTGGAGGGAGGGGAGGGGTGAGGAGTGGGGCTAGAGGTAGGGAGAGTAGCGGGAGTGGGAGGCAAAAATAAGAGGTTCCAGCCTCCCCCAGCCTCCAGATCCGAAGCCTCTCCCCAGGGGTTTTACCGGCCCTTGCTCTCGGTACCCCCAGAAGGGGACGGGAAAGAAATGAGCGGAGCGCAGATGTTCCCGCTTTCTCCGAAAGCCGCCTGAGGCTAGCAGGGCAGGGGCTGTAGGTTGCTGGTCAGGTCAGGCTGGCCGCTAGAACTCTCTGTGCTTGGATTGCTCAGTAACTGCGGCTGTGGGTTGATCGCTCTGGGTGCAGGATTTCTAGACTGCTGTAGGCCAGGGAGAATGGGGCGCCGCGCAGCGTCCTCAGGCCCGGCATCCGGTGACCACTTGGGCTCCGAGGTTGGGGGCCCCAAGCCGGAGTCAGAATGGAGACCCAGCGCCCTCCTCCTGGCCGGGAGAGCAAACGCCCTTGCTTCGCGGTGTCCTGGGAGGCTGCCGAGGTCTAAGAGGTCAGAGGGACGGGAGCTGGCTCTGGCAGGCAGCACAGGGTGCCCCGTGAGCCCTCAGCCCGTCTGGGCAACTTGCACCATGCTACCTAGAGGAAGCAGTGGGTCCCAAGCCTGGCTCAAGGCGGCAGGCAGACAAGCCCCGGCAGCCTGCGTTCTCTGGCTGCTACCAAACCGAGCGCGGCGCGGCTCTCCCGCTGCCTCCCTGGCTCTGAGCGCAGCAGACTCTGGACCCCTGCGCCTTCAGCCTTCCGTCCTCCACCTGGCTTTCTTTGAACTTTAGACACTAGGGAGACGAGTGGGAAATATGGCCCCCAAATATCTAAAGATAGAAAACATAAAGAAAAGGAAAAATCCCGATCAAAACCCAGAATAAAACAAAAACAAAAACACAGGGAAAGAGGCAGGAACACTCCAACTCGGATTTAAAATAGATAGAAGAGGTAAGGAGCAAAAGGAGGGAGTCAGACACTTAGTCCCTTTCTGTGCTCAGAGCCCTTTTGTACTGGGTCAACCGGTCCCAGCCCCCAAATCACCTGCCTCCAAGCCCTAGCACACACCAGCGACTCCCCCTTGCTTGCGGCTCAGGCGGGATCCCGCTTGGCCCTGCTTCTGCTCTCTGCTCGGCTCTTCTTTTCCTCTCCTACATTCTTTCCTGCCGGCATCAATTTCCCCCCTACCCTCTTTCTTCTCACCCTGCTTCTCCGTTCCTTCCCTCACTTTCTCCCTCGAGAGGTACTGGTCTTAGAGCCATGTTCTTCCCAGCTCTCTGCCCTGCATCCGCGTTTCCGCGTCTCTACGGTCAATGGGTTTCAATCCCCAATCCCCCGCGTTGTGCTTGGCAGCAGACCACTGTTCTGCCACAAGTCCCAGATCATGCCCCTCCACCCTGCCTGCTCCCTTCGCACATCCTGGGCCTTGGACCCTGACTAATGGCCGGTCCCTGCTGTGTGTGGGGTGTTGTGTCTTTTTCTTGTCTCTCCCCAGCAGGGCACGGGGGTGTGAACCAGCTCGGGGGGGTGTTTGTGAACGGCCGGCCCCTGCCCGACGTGGTGAGGCAGCGCATCGTGGAGCTGGCCCACCAGGGTGTGCGGCCCTGCGACATATCCCGGCAGCTGCGGGTCAGCCACGGCTGTGTCAGCAAAATCCTGGGCAGGTGAGGGCCTCAGAGCTGCCCCTGGGAGAAGCCTTGCCTCCTTATCCCGCAGCCCTGGGTCTCCAGACCAAGGACTTGGCTAAAAGTCCAGGATGCCAGTGGGGGTATCTAGATACTCCGGGCTATCTAGAGAGCTGCTCCTTTTGGAGAGGGCGCTTAGGTGGTGGCCACGGCCCCGGGAGCGAGGATGGAGCAGGGTCATTCAGCTCCTGCCCAGCTTCAGGGTTCTCATGAGGAGGCTGCCAGATACCAGGCTTCAGAAAGGGAGGGACTCCTCTTCAAGCAGAGTTAATGCAGACTTGGGGGGGGTGTGTGTCGGAGGAACAGGGTGGGGAGTGTAAATGGGTCCCCAAGAGGAAAGAAAAAAATCAGCATTGGGGAGGGGACAGTTCTCACCCGGGCTCTGTGTTCGGTAGGAAAGGGCTGGAGGCGGTGGCTCAGCCCTGGTGGTGGCTCAGCCCTGGTGGTGGCTCAGCCCTGGTGGGCCTGGAGGCCTGGAAGCTGCTGCCTCCTCTTCTTTCCAAATGCAAGGCTGGGCTTTCAGACTCCCAGGGGCACCTATGCCTGCTGGTGTGCTCGCAGCCCCTGGCATGACTGTCTTCCTGGAGGGAGTGTCCCTGTCGTCCTCCCCCGCATCCTGCCGCCCATCCCTTGCCCTAGCCAAGCGCCCTCCGGAAGCTGGCTCAGCCATGCTGAGTCTTTTCCCTCCACGCTGCTGCCTCGGGTGGGAGAGTGGCGCTGCCGCCGTCGCAGCCGCCCTGGAGCCTGCAACCTCCCTGCCCCTGCCACCGCCTGTTCTCGCTGACCCCGCCGGCCTTCCCGGCGCAGGTACTATGAGACCGGCAGCATCAAGCCCGGAGTGATTGGAGGCTCCAAGCCCAAAGTGGCGACGCCCAAAGTGGTGGACAAGATTGCTGAATACAAGCGGCAGAACCCAACTATGTTCGCCTGGGAGATCCGAGACCGGCTCCTGGCTGAGGGCATCTGCGACAATGACACGGTGCCCAGCGTCTCTTCCATCAACAGGTGAGCAAACCACCCCGGACTGCAGGGTGGGACTCCAGCTCCCAGCTCCTGCCCATTAGGGTGTCTCCCAGCTTGCGGTCTCTGTTCTTTCCCCAGCCTCTGCCCTTGCTCCAGGCTCTCAGTCCCCGAAGTCCTTTGGGCAGGGAGAGGAGACCTGGAAGGCAGGGAGAGACAGACAGACAGAGCTGTCTCCAGCTCAGGGCTGGGTATTCCCTGCCAGGCTTCTCCCGCCGGCGTCCTGGAAATGAATCCAAGTGTTTGTGGTAATTAAGACTCCAAGATTACGTGCCTCGGTATCTAGAGACAATCACAGCCCACAGCCGAAGCCTTTAAAATGACCAGTGTCTATTCATCGCTTCCAAACAGACTTCCCTTTCTAAAGGCATGCTCCCTTCCCCAGGGGCAGCCACCTGTCCTGGCTGCCCCACCCTCCCTGCCAACTCCCACAAAGCTTGCCTCCCAGGAGCCCAGGCCTTGCTAGCCAGCTTGCACAAATTTCCGGCCTACAAGCACGAGTATCCAGGCCTGCAGAGCAAACGCCAGCCACCAGCCAGCAATTGGCAGGGAGTAGAGAGGCTGGACAAGGAGTAGGACACCAGGCAGGCAGGGAGAGAGCTCTGGACCCCAAGACTCAACTTTAGGATGCTTAGGGCCAGGGATAAGTCTGCACCGATGACAGGCTCAGGCACATGGGGCCAACATAGGCTGGAGTCATCGAGACCTGTAGTTGCACAGGATAGTCTCCCAATCCCCAAGCCACTCCAGCATGCTCTCTGGGAGAGTACACATGTATGTTCCACGTGTGTATACCGTGCCAGTGTGCAAATGGGCCTGTGTCGGGTACAACACGTACAAGGAGCAGTGGGATCCAAGCACCCAGGAGGGCTTCAAACATCACAGAACTGTACAGTCTGACATCAGCAGAGACCCTGTATAAGTTCCAGACAGCTTGGCCAGCCTTTCAACCCCATTTTAAGACAGATTCCCAAATGAGAAGAAGGCTGAGGGTTTCTTACCCTTGTTATTCTTTGTACTCTTCATAGATTCATTATCAGGACAACTAATAATTCAGATGGTGCCTTTTTCTGAAACTGGCATCACGTATCAAGGTTTTGTGTTTTTTTTTAAATATTTTGCAAATGATATGGAATTATCCCAAATCATCCTGAAAACAGCAGGTAAAATTAGCTGGTAGAATGTACCTTGGCTAAAGAAGATTCCCTCTGCCACACTCGTGCTGTAACGTACTGTGAGGCGACCCCAGAAATTATCCCAGTGTGTGCCATATGTATTAAAATGGTTATTCAGTTATGAACAGGGTAACATAATACTGATCAGCTAATTATACACCCTCCGAAAACCCTCCAGCTCCCCGGGCCTGGCTCGCTAGGTACTGAAAGCATAGCGGTTTGACATTCAGACACCTTCGAAGGAGCTGGAGAAAGACTCTGGGTGGTTTGGGAGAGGAATGTGTCTTTTTGCATTTAAAAGCCAGAGGAGGCTGGGGAAGCTTTGGGGCTGGGGCAGGATTGGCGGTTTGGAACGGGCAGGGGACAAAGCATTTGTTTTCGGAGCCATCTGGAGACTCAGCCTCTTGGCTGTCTGCTGGTCCCGGGAGTGAGTTGGAACGGAGATCTTGGGAGGAGAGCAGCCTGCTGAGGAGCGATGTTGCTGGGGCTGGGCGCTGGTGTATTGGGGGACATTCAAGAAAAATGCTTGTTGTCAGTGTGGTAGGATTTGCCAGCCTTTGGAGGAACGCGAGACATGCACAGTTAAGGCAGTTTGCTTTTCTTGATGGGTGGAGGACTGGAGCGATCAAGGCACTTCTGATGGCAGCATCCCTCGCCTACCACCCCGTCTAGAACCCCGTCCCTCCTCTCCCCAACATATACCTTCACTGGCTGAGATGTTTTGAGAAGCTGTCTCATGCAGGAGTTTGAGGATGCTCTCATTCTGAAAAGCCACAGAAAGCAGGGAACAGGTGACCCCAGGATCAAGCTCAGAAGCCTGGGGTTGCAGTCCCCAGCATTGGGGGAAAGTAGAGGGGTGGGTTGAGAGTAGGAAAAGAACGGCCTCAGCTTGATAGTGCTGACAGCTGCAGGATCTGCACTGCGTGGAGCCCCACCACCTGAGGGGCACCGAGGCTTCCTTTGGGTGTGTAGAAATAGCTATCTGTGGGCAGGTGTTGCTGGAGATGGAGAGGGAGTGGGAGGAGAGGAACGGGGAAGCCACCGGCAGCATGGGCAGCCAAGCCCGCGGTCTGCGATTCGCCTTCCCGGCTTGCTTTGTCGACAAGGAGCAGTCAGGGTAGTGTTGATTTCACTTTGGGACAGAATCCTACCATGGTTCCAAATTGGGAAAGAATTCTGAGGGCTTCCTAATGTGCTGCTGAGTTGGGGCTGGAGGGATGCGTCTAGGCCCCCATGTCCTCCACTTCATCCCTGTAGGTGTTTTGCTCTAAAGGGGGAAAGGTTTATCTGAGATTTGTTGTTTCACCCTGAAACCTGATAAAGGCAGGATGTTTCTGCCTGCGTTGGTGATATCAGGAACTTTGTAAATTTTTCACTTTGTAAAATTTCACTGAATCTGGGCCAGAAGTGCAGCTTTACCTGCCACATCTCCACTCACTATAGGAAGACCCTGGAGATTTTCCTCTGTGCAGGAAGTGTGGTGCATCAGGGAATGGGTGGTTCTTGAGTTTAGGGCCTTCCTGTTGGTGAGGTGCCCACTTGTCTTCGGTACTTTATAACCGTTTTGAGTGTGTGCATGTGCCGGTGGTTGGCAAGAAAGGAAGTCCACACATGCTCACCCACCTGAGCCAAATTGTGAGGTTTTACTTCATCTTCTCCTTTCCAAAACAGATGTTGTCGCCGCACTTGAAATATGCTGTTATGGTCATAAACGAAATTGCTTTTCATGCTTTAAAATTGGTTTTGGTTTTCTCTGATCCTGTCGCGATAAAGGCTTGGACATTCCATCCACATACTCCACTGACAAATCCTCAGAGAAATACCTCTCTGAGTCAGTGGAGTAGGTCAGGGAGGCCTCCCAAACCCACTTCTGCCCCCCAGAGACCACTGTCAAAAATCCAGAGGGTTGACACGATTGCTTAGCATGTGGAATTTCTGTGACTCCATCTCGATATTGGGTTACTGATCACTAAGCATGGAGTTGCCAGCTCCTCAGCTTATACACTGCCACTGTAGAGGGCGGATGTTTATAAACAGGTGACTTGAGACTAAAACCTGGTGTGGGAAATGGCCTAGGGCGTGGGAAGAGATGGAGGGGGATCCATGCTACTGAAGGGGGAAAAAGTCGCCTAGTTACATCGCTGAGCAATTGACTGGGCAGGAAGGATCTTCCTGATTATATGCCAAAGTGTTCTGATTTGGCTATTGCTCTGGGCAGAGAATACAGCTCCTTTGAAAGAATAGGCACAAACTCCAGGTAGAGTCTAGGGTTACCAAGGATCCCCTGAGGGTGCTTTCTTGCAATGAGCTGACAAAAAGGCCATTGCTCTCTTAACTTTTCCAGCCTGCACTACACTCTTGGGATCAGGGCCTTCCCTGCCCCTAGATCTTTGGAGTGGGCTCTTCCAGAGTCCATTTCTCACTGATCACCTGCTACCCACACTCTCTCTCAGCCTGTTTGGCTCCAAGTGAGCACATTCACTGGCTTCAAGGCCACAGCCCCAGTGCTGTGCAAGGTTTCCATCCTGTGTCATTCGCAGGCCTCATCGGAGTTCTGGCAGTGGGGTGACCGTAGTGGGCCAGCTGTTCATTTGAAGACCTATCCAAAAAAGCTGGGAATGCTGAAGATATGTTCAGGGCTGGAGTGTGTGTCTCTTTCTCTGAAACTCAGGTTCTAGAACATTGCACATTTGTCTCGTAGACTCTTAGACCTTGCTTGGCATGAATCTGGGCCAGAAGTGCAGCTTTACCTGCCACATCTCCATGCCCTTGTTGCTATTTGGTGGTCAGGGCTGTTGGTCTCATGGCAAAGAGCCAAGGCAAATTGGTGGGCTAAGAAGAAGACTTCTGGGGCGCCTGGGTGGCTCAGTCGGTTAAGCGTCTGCCTTCGGCCCAGGTCATGATCCCGGGATTCTGGGATCGAGCCCTGCATCGGGCTCCTTGCTCAGCGGGGAGCCTGCTTCTCCCCTGCCTGCCATTCCCCCTGCTTGTGCTTGCTCTCTCTCTCTCTCTCGCTCTCTCTGTGTCAAATAAATAAATAAAATCTTAAAAAAAGAAAAAGAAAAAGAGGACTTCTGTCCTCAGAGGAGTAGGAGAAATAAGGACAGAGAACTTGCCTTCTGTGGCCCGGGGCCTACCACACTGGGGTCACAAAGAGCGAACAAATATGCCAATGTCTGTCTGAGAAGCCTTGCTCACTTATCCTTCCCCAGAGAGGGCTCTCCTCCTGCGGAGATCACCCATCATTAGACTAACATGTGAAATAGGTACGGCTGTTGATCTTATTTCTTAAAATGAGCTGGAGCTGTCCTCCTGAAAAGCCATTTTTGTTCCCTTAGTTACTTTAGACTTCTTGGCCCGCCGTCATATGGGTCTGACTGTTTCCCTCATTGGTTGGCTCAGAGCGGGCGTTCAGGCCACGAAATGGCCTTCAGGTGAGAGCAATGGCCAGTTGCCCTGAGTTCTTACCCCAGCTGCCAACTCTGGGGAAGAGAAAGACAGGAGGGGTTGTCCCTAATGAAAACTCCAGGTAGGTTTTAGAGGGCAATGCAAAGCAGAAAAGAGAGGGAAACTCCTCCTAACTAACTAACTAAATAGTGTCCCAACTATTTTGAGAACTCAATAAAACAATCACATCAAATATGAAGAGGCATAAATCTTGTGTCTGCACAGGTAACCTACTCAATTGCTTTTATTATCGTTCACGCTGCCTCCATTTATTACAGTCCACAGCCTGGGCAAAGGAGGTTGCGTGGAGGGTGGTCTCCAGTGCAATCCTACACCCTGAGAGGCAACAATCAGCCCATAGAG